GATTGGAGCTCATTCAAGTATCACGTTGTTAAAGATAAGATAGAAGGGCATAAACAAACAAGGACGATCGATTATCCGAAGATGAGTCGATTTTGCTGTAATGTGACTTCAATCTCGACAGTTTCTTGATTTTAGGGTAAACAATGATTGTATCATGTTATCAGTTAAAGAGATTTATCTCATGACAACGTTTTGTGATAAAATGACGTGTTTATTCCAACCGGTTCATGATGCGCTTCGAGAAATGAGATCTTCAGCTTTTTTTCCGCAACAGTCTGCAGTATCAAGCACATGGTACGAGTGGTTCTTCTCAGCCTGTTAGGGAAGAATCAGATCATAATTTTGACAGCACAAGAAACAATTGTAGGCCATAGATTTTCAAAGAAAAGAAAGCGAAGAAGATGGATCTCATTCCTTGGATCCTAAAAAATTGTGTTCCAAATGATAAGCCTTAGATTGAGCGTGTTCTCTACTCCTTAGCTTTAGATTTCATTGAGCTTGTAACTTCAATTATTTCATACATTTTTTCTCCGATCGGTCAGTTGTGAAACTATTATTGAAGTATGAAACTCGAAAACGTTAACGGAAAACTTGGGGAACCAGTTCACTTCTCACCCCTTTCGTCCTTTATAAATCATTCTTTCGATTTACTGGGCTTTTTTATCTACGTTTTGTCAGCTCAAGGTTTTCGAGTGAATATATTTAAAATGATTTGTTGCGTTGAAAAGTATTTGTATTGCGGGAAAGCCTTTTCTGAACCTGTGTGTTTCCTTCACCACACAGAAGATGCAAGTAGAGAATTATTTATCATTTATTTTTCGTTTTGTTTGTTGGGAAGATTTTGTTTGCTAAAATCAATAACCTTATTTTGTCTGAGGGCTTAGGGGATTCTATCTTCACGGGCTAGATCCTGCTTCTTCTGCTTTTGCTCACTTATTTCCTTTTGGACTTTCAAATGACGCTCTTGGCGTTTTTTTTGTTACAGATTTAAATAGGAGGATGTTGAACTGCATGCAAAGCAGTTCCGGCTCTACACAAAAGCAAATTTTTTATTTCAATTGAATTTATTTTAGTTTTTCTTTTGTCGACACGATGAAACGCTTTTTGTTCTCCTCAGAAACTCTCTTTCGTCGTTTCCTGTCGTTGCTCCAAAGATGGCGATGGCCCGACTGCTTTCTTCGCGAGTTGTTTCTTTTGTCGGATCCAGTCGAATTTGTTACAAATTTTTCAAATCCGGAAGAAGCGCTGTGTCATATGCGACACAAAACACATATAAGCAACTTCAAAAAGGAAATACCCTCATTTCCTAGCGTATTCCCTTTAAATTTGTAATCTAATTTTTGACAGATATAGGAACTGTTTTCAGCTGTACTTTGACACTACCTTTTATCTAATGTCACCAGCGGGGCAGGGAGGACAAACCACAAAACACTTTTAGGAATGTCCTTCACGTATGAGCCGTTTTTGGTTGTGTGGGATCTGGAATACCCATAAACATAACCTAGCAAACCTAAAACGCTGTTCTAAGATACGGAAATCGGTAACAAATGCCGATACCCTTTTTTTAGTATTATAGGATACCTTTCTTTTCAGATTGCAGTTGCTATATGACTGCTGACTGGTAGAAATCTGTAATAAAACAAGAGTACACAACATAACAATCTCAAGAAATAAGCGACAGACGGCTTTTCTCTTTGAAGGACTTGCTTTTTATGAATGATTGACCTTTTGAGATCAAAAAGATTGTGAGCACTGTTCCGATTTCTACTTTTTCTTTACTGTACAATCATACATGTTTTTTTCTTCAGTGTATAGATACCCTGTTACCCTGTTACATTTCACAGTAATAGTGCTGCTTTTTAATGACCATAAGTACCTTGTTTTTACGTCATTAACTGTTCATGCTTGACCATTTTTACGTCGTCCGAATGTTGTAATTACGACCGTAAAATGACTCCTCCAATTGAGTCAGCCGATCGTATCATTTTATGGCCGTAATTATATCATTCAAATAAGGTAAAAATAACTAATTTATGTAAATGAGGTGACAATGATATATTTATGATCTTTGAAAACGAGTGTTGATCGACTATTAATTAATGATCTAAAAATGACTCACTAGTGGAAACGACCGATTAACGGTACCGTTTATGGGATAAAAATGATGCACAGATGACCATTAATGACCAAAAAATGGCCAATTAATTGGCAGTCAGTTACTCATTAATGAGCCATAAACAAGCCAAGTTTTATTTCGTTTTCATTATCCTTGGAGGATTCTAGCCGTGCTACCCTCATTTAAATAATTCTTTGGATTATCTTGCAGACACACTTTTAGAATGTGATACGCAGATTAGTCATCTCGAGGGAACCAATTTAGATAAATAAGACAGCAGTATATTTTGTTATCTTTTTTTATTATTCTTTTATAAATAAAACTGATTACCAAGAATAGGCTCTCTCTTCGATTTTTATAATTTGCATATTCTGATCCAATAGTGAGCTCTCTTTTCTTATGCATATTTTAACTGAAAATTACCGGTGCATCGGAACGACAATAATCACAGTAGTTCTGCCCGTTTAATATCCATATCAGTCAAGAATCTTTTTTCTAACAGCTGCCCTTTGCCTCAACTTAATATTTGGCCGTCATGTTTTTGCTTTTTTGCAAAGAGTGAAATATTCAATGTTTTTAAGAAAGATAGTGATTGGTTAATCTATTATACTCCTTATTCAATGTCAAAGATTCTATGCGACGTGATCCGTCATATTTGAAGAAGCTAATGTTTGAGCGAACACTATTTTTGCTTTCGCAGAAATAGTATTAGACGTAGTGTTCTCTCATCAGACATTAGCTCTTCTCATAATTAGATTGAAAATGGCGACCATGCCATAGACGTCTGATTCTGTCTATGGATTTCTTCTGTGGATGGCAATTGCTTTCGTGGGACGGAGCTTCCGGACGTGACATCCAGATACGTCTACAATTATGGCGGCGTCCGGACGCCGTCATCCCGTCCAAAAGTGAGACTTTCAGTAGTCCATTTTCATGTACCTGACACGGCGTCCTGTCGTATCGTTGGACGCTCGGCTGTGCTGAGCATCCAGACGGCCGTCTTGAAAGGGTCCTTTTGTGATGAGATGCTTTACAGAAAAAGTAACAGCTATCGGCACAAGACGGGTGTCCAGACTATCGTCCTAATGCGTCATTTTTTGCGGGATGCGGACGCCGTCATCCTGTCCAAAAGTGAGACTTCCAGTAGTCCGTTTGAGACCTTGGACGGACGCCCTAGAGCTCAAACGGACTACGGTTTTTACCCGTCTTTTGTTAATCTGGGTACTTAAGTTTATATCTTTTTCTTTTCGTATTGTTTAATGACTTTTCTACACACCGATTATGCTGATATGCAACAGCATATTCAGTAATATAAATACAGTTATTTACAGGCATATAAAAACTGCGAAACGATGTCACAAGATCTTGCGTTCTTGCTTAACAAGAACATCGACTAGGGATGTCAAACGTAGGTCAGCACTTTGAAGAAACTTTTCATCAACCACAAAAGTACACTAAATTAATTAAACGTCAAAACCGAGTAAGACTTCTTCGTTGCTTCATATCTTAGATGTCACAGCAATTGAAACAGTAATGACGACAACAGCACATGTATCGTGTCGCTAAAAATACGCTCTCACACTATGTGAACAGTCTCAGTTTGACCAAAAGTTACTTAATATTTCTTTGTAACTCTAACACACTTTTAAAAATGGCGCGTATACATTCATTACTTCAACCTGAGATTAACTATTCTTATTCATTAAGAAACAAAATCCTGGCAGGATCCTTCTGCACCAGATTCCTGGCAGAAGCCTAGCATCTCAGTTCTTCCAGGAAATTATTAGGATCCAACACCGATCATGATAGGATCCTGGTAGGAAATAGATAAGAAGTGCATTGGCTTTTGTCTAGGGTAAACGTAATGATGCTACATGTATTACAGACTAATCCTACGACCGAAATCAGGATAACAACTGTTAATGCTACTTTAATTAAGATTGGCTGTTGTTCTAATGCTTTGCCTTTTATCATTTCCGAACCAAGTTGAAAGCTGAGAGATGGCTTGTTTGATGACAAGCCATCTATCGATCAGTCTTCCGAATCTATTGTGAACCGGACAACACCAGAGGAAGAAGTTTCTATTCAAAAATTTCTAGTAGACGTCTCTTAATGTATATGCATGAACATTTTGAGCACAAACAAACAAAGCTCCATTGAGCTTCAAGAGAACTTTGCAGTATACACAAACCGTGAACACATGGAATGTTCATCGAAAAAACAACGTAGATATAAATTTATGCAGAGTTCATCATATAGTAGCTCAGTGAGGTGCCAGATTGACCAATTTGAGTATCACTAACTAGTCTTCAGCTTCTCAGATCCGTTCAAAAAAATAAAAATTTTGCGAACAACGGAAGTATGCGATAGTTTTTAATGTTCTCTTTTATTAAGGTCATATTACAAAGTTTGAACGTTGTAAGCGGCATGCGGTGCAAAAATCAAACAAAATTTTTATTATTTTATTAAACATCATTCGACAGAGCTCATACAGCTGACTAAGAAAAAATGTCTTTTATCTTATAAAACGAAATTCTTTCACGTGAATAATTGAAAGCACTTAAAGGATGTAAAAACCCGCTATTCTTGGCACGTCTTGCCGATAATCCACGTGTCCGAAAACTGTGAGCCCAAAACCACGGTATATGAGAGACAGACGGAAGGTTGGGTCCAGCCTTCTAGCGATTCAGTTCAGTACTCATAAAAAAATGAGTTTCATAGAATAGTGAGTGTCTGTTGACATACAAACTACCTGCTTCTTTATATTAGTTGCTCATATGAAACCTATGAGGAGCTGGTTCTTTTTTCTGGAAGTGTTCTTTCAGAGAAATAGAATTTACAAATGAAAGTATATACACTGTAGCTATAGACTTTGCTCGTAATGATGACAAGAACGATCACCGTGGATGGTGAATTTGAGTACACAAAACAGATCTACTGTGTCATAAATATGCATTTTACTTTGTCATTTATCAAGGTGCATTTTCGTTCTTCGTACTTTAAATAGTAGTATCTCTCGACACACACACTTTATTACAAACATCATAAATGAAGGTCAGCTTGAGTCATCAATTCACATTGGAATAAGTACGAGCTTTTTGCTGTTTTTTTTGTATAGCTTGTTCTTGGATTTCTTCTGTTTGGTCTGGTATACGGGGATTGGGCATTGGAATGGGATAAATTCAAGCTGGACTACGACAAGCACTATGCATCGGCTACCGAAGAAAACGAACGTAAACAAATCTTCATTGAAAATGTCAGTCGAATGCGTACGTACCAGCAAACTCATCCTGATGCAACATTCACGATGGCAATCAATCATTTAACCGATCGACGCATCGAGGTAAGTATTGGTTTCAGATATTAACGATAAAAGACAAAGCTTATTATAGGAACTCGTATCAGGACCGAACAAACACTTAGCATCTAGTCCAGAATCAAGCAAAAGTTCGATTGAAGTAAAGAATATACCTGATTCACTCGATTGGCGCACAAAAGGTGTCATATCCCCTGTACATAATCAAGGCCTTGTCGGAGAAATCGTGGTTGCCATTGCGAGCACAGGTAAGCATTGTTGAAAGAGTAATAGAATGAGTCTATTATTTGACTCATATTATTGGTTCATTCGACAGAACTCGTGGAGACTCTTCATGCCATTCATACGAAGAGTCTGGTCGAAGGCAGCATTTCACAAGTATTCCGGTGTTGTCCACAACCAACTGATCCTTTTGATTGTATAAAGAACCTGAGTGGCATTTGTCGCAAGGCTGACTATCCAGATACTCTCGTAACATGTGTACCGAACCAATGTAAACCTTTCGCTACCGTATGTATATGGACATTTAGATGTCTGCATGTTTCAGTTGAAGAACAAATTCAATCTTTAGGCTAACCTAAAAATGAGTCGATTCTTTTTTTAAAAAGTTCTCAGTACGTAAACGATTCTCAAGTGTTGAATTTATACAAATTATAGTTTGACAAAACCAATCGGCTGACACCGGGAGACGAAAATACCATGTTGAATTGGATTCAAGAATCTACTCTTTATGCTGAAATAGACGCCAGTGGAGCGGGTTTCGGAGTATACGAGTTCGGTATGTCGTTTGATGTATTTGATATATTTGTCGACACATTTTCTTTTCTCTTCAGGTGTCTATGAGGACTCTACATGCTCACAAGAGAATCTTAATCATGTGGTAAAAGACAACGGATAGTGTCGTTTCGTAGGTTTGATAGATTAGTTATTGCGTTTTTTTAGATGCAAATTGTTGGCTACGGAGTCCAAGAAGGTAAACGTTATTGGTTGTGTAAAAATAGCTGGGGTAAGTATACTAATTCACGGAGAGCTGATCTTAACTGTTATTACAATCTTAGGTGTGAACTGGGGCGAGCAAGGCTACATTCGTGTTGCACGTGGCAAGAATACGTGTGGTATTGCAAATATAGTCGTGCAGGTGACAGGTACACCGACGAATAGTGGCACACGGCTGGACGAGATTGTTCAAATTCCTTTCATGCTCTTGTTCGTGCTATTCGTTTCCCGAACTGGCTCTAATTATTCCTAATGGAGGCACCACATTGGCTGCTACTTGATTGAACTCTTTCGAAATACATGCAATAAATCGATGAATGATAGTTATCAATCACGAAAATACTTGTATAACGCACGAAAATAAATGCTTTTGTTGTGCCATTGTTTGTAAATATAATATGATTTTCCTTCGTATTGTTATAGGTTGAAGTCACAAATTATCCAAAGATGTCTTCTCTTTTTTGTTTTCACCATATGAAAACTAGGTGCAAAATATTCGCACTGTTTCAGAGAAAACTAATGAATATGTAACTCTTAGAATATTTAAAAACTGCTATCAGCCAACTTCTGTCGTTAGGCCTTTTAATTTAGTATTTTGAAAAGATGGCGGGTAAAGCGACTGCGACAAAAGCGCTTGTAACTACGTACAACTATTTTATTCGTTTGGTACGCTAACCAATAGGAATTCAAGATGGCGGACATGCCTAAAATTCTACGCTCAGCGCTTCTTTTTCTCAACAAGGTAACGCTCGTCTCCACTCGCTCGGTCCCTTGACTTTAATAACCTAGGTCTGCGCTACTGAACGCGCTTTCGTGATTTTTAAATGGAAGACAATGCTCACGCCTCCCTTCGGTCGGCGCTCGCTGGGGGCCTGCCTAAGCCATTTTCTTGATGTTTTTCTTTTTTATGTGTAAGGTTGGTAAATATACAAGGCAAAAAGTCCCAGAAGTCTAAAAATATTTCTGAACTCACAGCAATGCTCACGCCTCCCTTCGTTCGGCGTTCACAGCCATTATAGCAGAGAAACGCTGTGAACTCCTTCATCTAGTCGCAATAGGCGAAAAAATTAATTTTATTTTCATTGTGGAATTAACACAGGAGGACAATAGTATAGAATCTACTCAGTCTGGAAGTTCAAAAAGTCTCTTACTTGTGGCTTCCAAAATG